CCCAGTGCACTGAGGGGCGTGGCCAGAGCCTGGGGGGGTGGTGTGGCAGGCACTAACTTCCTCCCACTTGTGTGGACAGAGTGGACTCTCGGGGCCAGTGAATGCCCCCAGAAGTAGCTGCTGTTAGAAGCTGGTGTGGGGATAGGGGCGGGGCACGTGGGTGACCGAAGGTCCCTGGGATTTCCCACAGGCTCTGGAGCCAGAAACCGCCCCTTCCAAATAACGTGTGGTATAGGGACACCCTTAAATCCACCCTCAAAGCCCCCACTCCCACACGGCTGCCACTGAGCCACAGCCGTGGCGGTGCTTCACGCACGGGGGATCCATTCTGACCTCCCTGACCCTCCCCCAGCTGCCCTCCACCCTGGTTTAAAGGGCGCCAGCAGATGGGAGTGGTGGGCGGGGGGTTGTGGGGGTGAACTTCAGCTGCTCTTGGCTGAACGGTGCCCAAGTGCTGGGACCTTCTTAAGACTTCCCCTCTTTGGTACCCCGGCCACCCTCCCCGACTCCTCTGGGTGTCTGTTCTATGGGCTCCACTCTGTGCACCTGGCATATCCTAAGCTGAGATGAGGCTGTTGGGTGAAAAGGAGTTTGTCAGGCCCTACATCTACCCAGGGGTATTTGCTACTTTAACGAGGTGCCAAAGGAAAGAATTGCTGCTCATGGGAATGTAGGCACGGCTGTAGGCGAAGCCTGGCTGTCTTGGTCATCTTGACAGTCCATCGTACCTCGTCTTAGCCCTGGCTCCCCGTCCTTGCTCTGCAGCACCTCCCCCTTCATGGCCACCCCGCCCACATCCGCTATACCAAGGCCCGTGGCATCTTTGCTTGCTGAAACCAGGGGTTCCCCCTGGAGCTCCTCCAGATGGCAGCCATGGCGACAACCAGCAGCAACGGCAGCAGAAGAGCCAGTGGCATCAGCGTGGGCCAGGTGACTCCTGCGGAAGACAAGACAGTAAGTGCAGAATCCCATTCGCTCTCACCTCTCGCTTACATCGGGCTGAGAGCTGCATGTACACCGTCCAAAATCCTCACAACCGGACTGGCAGACAACATCATGATCCATGGAGGGGAGATGCACGTTGTCGAGGATTTCATTGTGCTCGGATCCGCGCTCAATGCTCACGGAAGCAGCAGTCAAGAAATCAGGTAGCATATTGCACTGGGTGAGTCAGCTGCGTAAGGCCTCTGTCAAGTGCTGAGGGGCAAGGACGACATTTTGAAGATGGAGGTGCGCCTGGCCCAGGCCCTCGCCTGTGGAACCACCTCAGAGGCATGGGAAAGCTGGGAGACGGAGAAGGAAGACCACAGGTGAGTCCGTGCATTTGATATGTGGTGCTGGTGAGGAGCAGGGCGCATACCGTGGGCAGCCAGAAGAACAACCGCGCCTGTCTCGGAAGAGCTCCTTAGAAAGGAGGATGGTGAGGTTTTGTCTCACATGCTTTGAACACGCTATCCGGAAAAAAACAGTCCCTGGAAAAGGACATCATGCGTGGTCAAGTGGAGGGCAGTGGTGGGGGGGCACAGAAGGGAAAGACCATCCAGGAGATGGATTGACGGAGTGTCTGCAAGGACACGTGTGAGGAGGGGCGGGGCCGGGCAGTGTTGTGATGAGTTGGAGCCAACCCCCTACGTGACAACATACTGCTTGGTCCCCACAAGTCTGTCCTACGGGACATCAGACGGTGGTCAGAGCCTTGCTTTCCATATGGGAGGCCCACGTTCATTGCCCGGCCAGTCCACGCCGAGCGCAGCCACCATTCCTCCTTCAGCGGAGGCTTGAGCCTTGCTATGATGCTGAAGAGGTTTCAGCTGTACTTCCCGACGAAGACAGACTAGGAAGAAAGGCCTGGTGATATGCTTTCAAAAACCAGCCGATGCAAACCTACGGATCTCAACAATCAGATCCATAACCTACCATGGGGATGGTGCCAGGCTGGGCAGTGTTTCATTCCATTGAGGAAGAGGTCACCACAGGTTTGGGGGTGGGGTAGAGGGAGGGGCGGAGTGACCCAGCAGCAGCTAACAGCAGCAAAGCCTGCCGAAATGACAATTCAGAAAGGTCTGTAAACTGCCCAACGACTCTCAATGAATGTGTTGAGGGTGGGAATTTAATCGAGGCGAGTGTCTCCAGAACTCACGTTCGTAACTCATATGACGGAGCTCCAGGGAAACAGTGCCCCATTCGTCACCACTGTGTACCCACCTGGGGCCTCCAGGAAGAAGCAGGTGGGCTCAGAAGGCTTGCTGTACTTGGAGGTAGCATAGGTGTAGATGGTCCTGCCACTGAAGCAGAGCTGTCCACTCGTGCTTGGCTGAATGGGGATCTGGACTGGCTGGCCGTGGGGAGTGGTGGGCAGCACAGTCTGTTAGGAGAGAGGCAGGTGAGCTGATGTCCTAGGGTGGGTGACTCTCTCTGGCCAGGCCAGGGTGGGGTCAGCAGGTAAGGCATGGCTAGGACCGTCCAACTTCTGTTCTTTTTCTGCTTGCGTCGTCAGACACAAAGGAGCACAGAGACCCCACGCTGCCTGGGTTTTCAGTTGAGACAGATGACCTGGTTCATCTCAAGACAGATGACCTGGTTCAGAATAGGCTCTGCTACTCAGGGTGCACCCTCCAGGGCTTCCTGGCCCTCCGCATCTCTTCTCCCTCCCTCCCTTTGAGGAGCAAATTCCTCAGGCTTCTACCACAGAGGCTCTGGTCTACTGGGAGGGCATTCAGGAAAAGGAAATGCTAGCACGGCCATAAGTGCTCACTGAGCCTCTTGAAACACAACTGGCCCAAGCTGAGATGTACGGTGAGAAACACCAGATTTTAGAGACGATGTGGGGGAAAAAAGGGTGGGGGGGACATAAGCTATCTCAGTTATGTGTAGATGAACCACATGTTGAAATGTTAACATTTTATATCTGATAGGGTAGATAAAATCTGGAATTAAAATTAAACTACCTATGTTGCCATGAACAGGAACTGACCCAATGGCAGCGGTCATCTCTGGGTACTTGCGGTTTTCTTTCTAGAACTCGTCTGTATTTTCTGACTTCTCTGTGACTAGGTGTGATAGCTAAGGTTTTGTGTCAACTGGCCTGGGCTAGGATTCTCAGTGGTCTGGCAGTTCGGATGCAGTAACTCCCATGATGCGATCTGTGGTGAGCAGCTAATCCATTGGAAGGAAGTTTCCTTGAAGGTGTGGTTTGCTTCCAATATAAGTGGATGGTGTGAGAACGCATGTTTGCTGGATATGGATCCTGCATCTGGCTTGTCATCTGACCTCTGGTTCTTTGGACTCAAGCACCTGACGGTTCACTTTGCAATCAAAAGCCTGCTGCCTGACCTGTTGGTTTTGGGTCCAGCAGGGCCTGCAGCTCTTCGAGGCGAGAAGCCTTCAGCCTGACGTCTGACCCATGGGCTTGGAGCTTGCCTGCCTCTACAATGATGGGAGCAATTTTCTGGCTATATATTTCTCTCTCTCTCTCTCTCTCTATATATATATATACACATATGCATATATAAGCATCACTAGTTTTGTTTCTCTAGTGACCCCAGGTCTCTTGGAGCTCGCCCTACTACAATCAGATATTATTGGGAAGAAAAGGGAGGTTTCATAATGTAGAGCAGACAAACCAGCAACCATCTAAGTGAGGTGTCAGCTAAGTCCGCACAGAGGGAGTACAACAGCCCATGCGATCCAAGGATTGCAAATCATAAATGTGAGATGAGAGGAGGGAGCTGTATTGGGGCTTAAGTTCTGAGCACGGGCTTGCAGCGGCTATGGGTGACAGTGAAACCCCAGAATGCATTTGCAGAGCCCCCACGCAGGTGCAACCTCTGTTGAATTCCTTCAGACCACTGACTAGGGACGTGCACAGTCTTGCCCTCAGACAGAGTGCACTGGAAAGTGGAGTACTGCAGGTATAATTAGATTAAAATGTAACATATTGCCATTTGTTTTCCCTTTGGATCCATTTTTAATTTGTTCTAGTTTCTCTTCTGCGTTCTCTTGGGTTGAGGTTTTTCTGTGTTTTACTTGTTCTGCTCTTTGGGGCGTATGATTTTCTTTAATGAAACCCAGGCTAGGGAATCCACAGAGACAGTAAATAGGCGAATAGTTCCTTAGGGTTACGGCAGGGGAGGTTGGGGGGAAATGGGGAGCTAATAATCATGGGTAGACGAATGAAACAACTGTTCTGAAATGGATTGTGTTGGTGATTGCACAGCTCTTTTTAATACATTCAAACCACTGGATTGTGTGCTACATAAATTACATGTCAAAACTGTTAAAATACATTTAAAAACAACACCAACAACCAGGCAGGCAACAACCGCTGTGCTGTGGCCCCAGTGACACGCGGGGACTGGATGCCCTGTGTGCGGCCTCTCTGAGGGAGGCGGGTGGGGGGGCCACATGTGTCCCTGCTGGATCCTGGCTTTCCCTGGGGGGGGCCCTGGCTTCATTTCCGACGAGACATTCTCACACACCAGCCCCTGAGATGGACTGATACCAGCTGGGCTGTGGGCAGCAGGGACTGCCAGGAGTGGGTATATCCTGGGGAAGCTTCCTGAACAAGGGTTCTGAGCAGGCTGTCGGGGGGAGCGGGGAGAAGACTAGGGCCTGTTGGTGGAGGGGACCCGGACTAGGGGCAGAAAAGGGGTTTCTTACCTTGTTCCCTGTCTGCTCCTTCCAGAAGTGCACCTCATACTTGAGGTCCACTGGGGGCATGCATGGTGGCAGCTGGTACGTGGCATTGACACTGACAATCCCCTCCGTGTGGGTGAAGGTGAGGTTGGGCGGGGCTGGCTCCACTGGCAGAGGAGAACAGAACCCATCAGTCCCCTCTCGGGGTCACACCGCCTAACCCCCCGCCTCCAGGAAGGCCCGGCCCAGGGAGCTCTCTTGGGCGGAGAAAGCAGTCGCGGGTGGGAACATCGACTGCATGCACTCTTGAAAGCTATATGCCAGCCACCGACTATTGATACTTTTTGAGTTCAGCCCTAAGTGTGCCCCGTCTCCATGGTTTCTGAGACAAAGACGGCTGTTAACTCTACTGAGTTCATCGGGTGTGAAGAGGTGCCTTCTGTCTCTGCTGCAGCTTTCCAGAGGGTCTGTCTGCAGTTTCCATTGCGATGTGTCCTGCTTGGAATTTGTTGAACTTCTTGGATGTGTAGACGCATGTCTTTCATCAAACTTGGGAAGTTTCTTCAAAGACCCTTGCTGGCTCGTCTGCCCCATCTCCTCTTTCTGGGACATCTACCACAGTCCTTGTGAGGATGTCGCACGGAACCCCAGCTTCACTATTTCCTTCCTTTCCTGCTCCTGAGACTGGAGCATTTCAATGACCCCATCTTTGAGTCCTTGGATTCGTGCTTCATCTGCCTCTTCTTTCTCTCTTAAAAAAATAAATAAAAAAGAACTCTCTTGCCGCATGGCTCCTCTATTCTTCTAACCCTTCTTCATATCCATCGAATCGTGGGGTGGCCACCTACCATTGGTCTAGCCAGACGAACCCCCACTCTTCCTTCCTCAGTCCGTCCCATTCCTTGGCCTGTCCCAGCCATTCTCCTTTCGTTCCCATCACTCTTCGTCCCTCGCTTTCCAGCCCACAAGCCTGTCTCCTGACCTCGCCTTTCTGGGCCCTCCCTCCTCCAGCTAGCCAGCCGACGTTCCAACGGGTCCGCTCTCTCTATCCAGCCATCTCGTCCCCTTTTCTTTCCTATCTGTCCATACATTTTCCCATCTTGTTCTTCCTCACCCTGCCCTGCTTAGATGGCCAGCCTTCCTGCTACATATCAAGCCTTTGGTCCGCCATCTACCTTTCCATCCTCCTTCCTACCTGTCCATGTACAGTGGTTTCTTTCTGAACAAGTATCTAGCTGTCCAACCCCCCTTTCTTCCTATCGTCTCTCTCCTTCTTTTGTGCATCCAGCCCTCTAGTTCCTTTGCACTAAAATCAAGTAATCTCTTTTCCTTCCCCGTCATCCTTTCCCGAGAAGCCCTGGTGGCACTGCCAGGTGAGTGCTGGGCTGGTAACCACAAGGTGAGGCTCTCTGTGCCGTCAAGAGTTACAGACCCAGAAACCCCGTGTAGGGTCCATATGAGCTGGAATCAACTTGATGGCAGTGGTTTGGGTTTTAGCATCGTTGACAAACATGGGTTTCTCCTTCTCGTTTACCTTCTGATCTTATTTTGCCTGCCAGCGATTTGAGAAACCTGGAGAGCAGACTGCAGATCTAAGGTCCCCGAGGTCACTGTCCGGGGATGAGCCACTCCTCGTTACTGCCCGTTGCCTCCTCTGAAGCCTGGCCCAGCATCTGCTTGCCCAAGGTCAGAAAGACCCAAGTTCACATCCTATTTCAACCCCGCTCTATAACTGTGTATCCAGGCAAGTCACTTAGCTCCTGAGAGCGGTGTTCCACTTTTTAGAAAGGAGCAATGAGACTAAATCTCACAGGGCAGGCGTGAAGATTAGAAATACAACAAACCAGGGGGACTGTGCCCTCCTCAACCAGTGTCAGCTAACTCCAGGGATCTAGGAATGTGGTACCCACATTCCTATCTATTCTTATCATCCTCCAACGCTCTCCGTAAAGTTCTGCCACACATTTGGAATTACTTCTGCAACCAGAACAAAAAGTAGCTTGTTTTCTTTAAGAGAGAAGTTGAACAACAACAACAACAAAGAGGCATAAATATGTCATTGGTCTTGCGATGGAACATGTGACTTCTCTCCATGCAGGCCCCTGAGGTGGCCCAAGAGGAACTGCGGAGGCTGGCTGGAATGCCCCCCCCCACCAACCCCCAGCCCACCATGAAGCCAGGCTATCCAGACATAAGCTTGGCACCATGGCTGCCCCAGGGAGCTGTCCTCTGCTCTGGGGAAGGGAGAGAAAGAGGGCCAGGATGGCAGAGCCTCTGTGGAAAGGTCCTGGCTTATAGACGTACCTTCAAAGAGGTAGTCCATGAACCTGGACTCTGTCCAGGGGGACTTGCCACGGAGAGAAATGGCCTGCGCCCGTCCCCTGAACTTGCTGTACAGGTCCTGCTTCTTCAGGCACATCAGGGAACACATCAACTCCTTGGTGCCCGCGCACCTGTCCACTTTCCGCCAGCGTTCGGGAGTCATATAGCTGAGGGAGGAAGCAGAAGGGCTTGGGTCAGGGTCTCGCCCTCTCAGAGCTAGTGGAAGGAAACTTAGAGACCCGCCCTTTGCTCATCCCAGCTGTCCATCCAGACAGTCATCCGGACAACCGCTGACTGAAGGCACAACAGTGTGGTAGCAAGTTCAGGCTCTGGCACCTGGCAGGCTGGGAATCCTGACGCTGATCCGAGAGAGGTCACGGTGTGCCCCAAGTCTCAGTCCTGCCATCTGTAAACACAGGAGATCATGCCTCATCACAGGGCTGTGGGGTCACTAGGACTCACGACTGTGTGTTCATTTGTTCAGTTGCTGGTGGAGCGCCTGCTGTGAATCTGGCACAGTGCGGGGTGCCAGGGGGCTGCCAGTCAGCAATGAGCAGAAGTCGTGTGTTGGGTATTATTCTGGGCACGGGGAATCGGCAGTACACAGACAGGTGAGGTCCAGCCCTAAGGAATTTACACTCTGCATGAGGGACAGCAGTCACATGGACAAGTGTGGCCCAGGCACTGTTGAGCCCGTAGGAAAGATGACACAGGGTCATGTGAGAGTGAAAGCTTTTGAAATGACTGGGGGTGGGGGCAGGGGGGGGAGAGGAGTGTGGAGGGGAGGAGGGAGGCTCTTCTAAGAGGTGGCCTTGAGGTCAAGACCTGTATGATGATGAGGAAGGAGCCAGGTGAAAGTTTGGAGAAGGAAGAGAAAACACAAAAGAAAGGCCTGTAGAGGGAATGAGACGGAACTGCTGAGAACCAGGTAAGCCGGCCAGTGGGGCCAAAGTCCAGGGGGCAAGGGAGGTGGAGGAGCCGATGCCTGGGGCTGAGGGTGGAAGGAAGGTAGGGCAGGCTCGGCGGGGCCTCAGGTCTTGGTAAAGAGCCTGGATTTTATTTCAAGTATGGCGGAAAGCCCTGGAAGGTTCTGAACAGTGAGACTGAAGTGATCTAATTGACGTATGTCACAGGTCCTTCTGGGAAAAACTACTAACCCAGGGGGCGGCAGCAGCGGTCCAGCAGAGCACAGCGGGGAGAGGGGGGAACGGGGAGGGTTTCCGGGGGGGAAGCTATAGAATTAGCTCATGGATCAGATGTGGAATGTGTGTGGGGGTGGGAATGGAACTGACGACCACGTCTGGTTTGGGAAACTGAGCAAATGGGTGAATTCCGAAGGTTGGGGCAACGGTGGACAAAGAGAAGAGGTTTTTGAGCTGAATGAATACCTCTCTCGTTTCCTAAAGGCGAGAGATCTGCTGCTGCTGCTGCTGCTGCTGCTGCTGCTGCTGGTATTAGTGCTGCCGAGTGCGTCAGTCCGCCCTCATGTACCAACCCTGGTCCTGTTTGGGCCATTGTTTCGGCCAGCATGGGAGTCCTTCTCAGGGAAGGTCTCCCTCCCTTTTGCCGCCCCTCTACCAAACATGGTGTCCTGCTCCAGGGCCGGGTCTCTCAAAGGACGTAAGACAAAAGTCTGGTGTCGATATATTAATCTGAGACAAAACGCAGACGAAAGCAATGTTAAGTGACTGTGCGATTTGCTCTTGATCACACAGTCGTTAAAATACGTGGAAGCAATCATGAAGGAAAAGAACGTGATGGAATCAGAGAGCAGGCGGAGAATGCTTTGGAGGGAGACTGAGAAGCCACAGTGGTACTATTTCCGCATGGTAATGGCGTCATTGCCGTGGTTGGATTGCCATCGAGTCGGTTCCGGCCACGGCAACCTCCGTATGCGCAACAGACGGAAGCACCGCCGGTCCTGTGCGTCCCCACACTGTCCCTGTGCCTGGGCCCAGGGTGGCAGCCACGGTGTCCATCTACTGCTTCTGGTCTTCCTCGTTTTTGCTGCCCCGCTCCTCTGCCAAGCATGTGCCCGTTTTCAGGGACTGGTTTCCCCTGACAACACATCCAAAGTCTGTACGTCAAAGTCTCGCCATCCTTGCCTCTAAAGAGCACTCTGGCCATACTTCTTCTAAGACAGATTTATTTGTCCTTTTGGCAATCCATAGTACTTCTAATATTTTTATATCGAATAATATTTCAATATCCTTATCATATATAGTATTATATAATAGACTAACATCACATAAAATTAAGACATCATAACATAATATGTGGTATAATATATAAAAGAGTACATAGTGTTATATAGTACAGTAATATATATAGTATTACTAAGGAGCCCTGGTGGCATAGCGGTTATGAGTTGGGCTGCAATCCGCAAGGTCTACAGTTCTAAACCACCAGATGCTCTGTGGGAGAAAGACAGAGCTTTCTACTCCTGTAAAGAATGACGGTCTCAGGAACTCACAGGAGCTGTTCCACCCTGTCCTAAAGGGTTGCTGAGAGTCAACATGGCTTGACAGCAGTGAGTTTGAGAAGTTATAATCCCTTAGTGTTATAACGAGGAGTGCAAAGGACGATGAGCGGTATTGAACTTCACGCTAGAATGACAAGCACAAGACCCGGCATAGAAAACCAAAGGGAAAGATAGCACACTAGGCGGTTCTCAAGCTGAAAGACCGAAGAGAAAACTCAAGCCTCATGCTGCCATTTTTTGGATTCTAGGCGCAAACTATTGGCCATTACAGGAGGCGTCAGAAGATGGGAGGGATTTGGAGGCCTGGTGATGGTCAGCCACTGCGGGAGGCAGCACGGGATCAAGAGCGCTGAAAGAAGCGCGAGCAGCACCGAAGGCACTAGTGCAAACACGGCTGCAGGAGCCGATGGATAGCCATCGAACATGTTTCTAAAATTCGATGCAGCACTAGCCCATGCCGAGGAATTTGGAAGACAGAGATTTGGCCAGCCGACTGGAGAGAGCCATGCTGTGCCCATGTCAAAGAATGTAGAAATTACTTAACAATACTATTAATATCACAAGCAAGTAACATTTTTCTGAAGCTAATTAAAAATCAGTTGTGGCAGCATAGCCGCGAGAAGTTCAAGTTGGACTCAAAAGGGGATGTGGAGTGATGGAAAGCACTGTTGACATCAGGTGGACCTTGGCTGAAAGCAGAGGACCCCAGAAAGATGTTTACCTGTATTTTATTGTCTATACAATGATATTTCACTGTGTGGATCATAATAAGCCATAGATAATGCGGTGAAGAATGTGAATTCCAGAACATTTCATTGTGCTCGTGGGGAACCTATACATAAACGCAGAGGCGGCTGTTCAAACGGAACGAAGCCCTTGACTTGGAGCTGATTCAGATTCAGAGCGCCCCATAGCGCAGAGTAGAAGTGCTCCAACCCCATAGCGCAGAGTAGAAGTGCTCCAACCCCATAGCGCAGAGTAGAAGTGCTCCAACCCCATAGCGCAGAGTAGAAGTGCTCCGACCCCATAGCGCAGAGTAGAAGTGCTCCGACCCCATAGCGCAGAGTAGAAGTGCTCCAACCCCATAGCGCAGAGTAGAAGTGCTCCGACCCCATAGCACAGAGTAGAAGTGCTCCGACCCCATAGCGCAGAGTAGAAGTGCTCCGTAGAGTTGCCGAGGCTGCGACTCATTCCCGGAGCAGAGCCCTCATTTCCCACGGGACAGCTGCTGCGTCTGGACTGCTCGCCTTTGGGTTAACAACTCAATCACATAACCAAGTACCATCGGGGATTCCTTCGAACAGGACGTGGGGACACCGAGCAGTTTCAAATCAGGAAATGTAGGGTTGTGTTGGTATCCTTTCACCATGCTTATCCAATCTGTATGCGGAGCAAATATTCCAGGAAGTTTGATGGGAGGAAGGCTCATTAACAGCCGGGTATACTCAGAAGACACAACCTTGCTTGAAGGGCTTGAAGCACTTGCTGATGAAGATCAAGGATGCCAGTGTGGATGCTATCTCAATGTAAAGAAAACAAAAATTCTCACGAGCGGGCCAATAAGTGAAATGATGACCAGAAAAGAATGAAGATGCTCAGGGTTTCATTTGGCTTGGGCCCACACTCAGCCCTCAGGGAAATAGAAGCCTAAGAACAGGTTGCATTGGACACATCTTTTGCAGAAGACTTCTTGAAAGTGCTAGAAAGCAAAGAGGTCACCCGGAGGACTAGGGTTTGCCTGGCCCACGCCTTGTACCCTCCACCACCCCAGACCCTCGTCGTTGTCGTAGCTGTGAAAGCTGACAGCGGCAAGGAAGACTGGGGAAGAGTGGATGCACATGAACGATGGTGCTGCTGCTGAACACCGAGTCCGCCATGGTCTGCCGGGAGAACCAACGGATCGATGTTGGGGCAAGCGCAGCCAGGAAGCCCCTCAGAGGAAAGGATGACAAGACTTGGTCCAGCGGCCTTTGGACGCATTGTCAAGGAGTACTCGTCCCAGGAGAAGGACGTGAATAATAAAGTGGAGAATCATGAACACGGAGGAAGACCTTCAACAAGACAAATGGCCACAATGGCTGCAACAATGGGCTCCAACAGGTGGGTTTGAGGCAGGCCGGGTGGTGTTCATTCGGTCTGACACAGGGCTGAGTTGGAGCCAACTTGAGAGGACCTCACAGCACCAATAACAACACTAAAACGACATCTCTCTGACAAAGGACCACAGAACTAGCACGACTCAACAATGAGAGAAACGGTCCAATACACATGGGCAACCACAAAGCTGTGAACAATCCCCTTATAAGAGATAGATGAAGGGTTAATAAACACACCAAGGCGTGCACAGCACCATCAATCACCAGGGAAATGAAAATGAAAGCCACAATGGGTGTGAAGAAGGGAGAATGGTATCCACCTACACCGCCAAGAGCGAGAAGAATTGGCTTCAAGGTCATTCCTCTAAGGCAGAGGTCAAACCTACCTCCAACCTCCAACCTCTTTTTTTAACCCATTCTGACACCAGCCAATATTCCCACAGCAGCGTACTTCTCTGCTGGGTTTCATCATTAATGGCAAGGGTCCCGGGGTACGCACCAACCGCACCCACCATTATGAGGCTGATGAGGGAAGTCTAACAGACTACAATTTAAGATCAGGATCAGAAAATATATAGACCCACTATGA